GTGCAGGTCTGGGTTTTGAATCGCCAGCCGTTTGCGCTCGTCTTTGGCCCAGACCATGAACGCGTTCATGGGCCGCCTGATCCGCGGCTCCGGCGTCTTGTCCACGGGGGTCCTGTGCGAGACATGCGGGTCAGGGACATCTCCGTCTCCCGGAGGACCCTGGGGAGACCACGAGTACGCGCTGATGAGAGCCGCCATCTGAAGCGCGCTCTCTCCTCTCCAAACTTAAGAGGCGCGTCTGAGACTCTGAACGAAGTTGTGCGCTTTCTGTCTGCCTGTCGCCTGACTTAAAGCTGTGAAAAACTACAAAAAACAAATAAAACTTTTCAAATGAAGCTCCTGTGTTGCTTCAAGCTCTTGCTCAACCTGGATGCCTGAACAGATTTCAGGAGAACGCACAGATGCGCACATACAGCTGCTCCTCCATGTGGGCTATGATTCTGTCTTTCCTGGTGGATGGGGGAAGGCTTTATATTTGAGGAGCAGGTTCCAGAAGAAATCCCGCAGGACTCTCGACTCCTCCTTGATTGCAAGTTAAACCCAGTGGAAGGGAAGGGATAGGATGCAACATTTCAACACAAGTAAATCCTTAAACTTCCCTGACAACACAACAACTCTTGTCATTAATACAGATATTAATTAAACTAATAGAAGAACTCATAGCATTAGATTCACATGGTTATTTGAAGCTCCGTAGTTTAACCCTTGTGTTGTCTTGGGTCAAAAATGACCCATTATAATGTTTATCTGTAGAAAAAATACCCCAAATGATTTTTTTCCCGCTTGAAATTTTATGACTTTTTCTAAATTAACCCAGTCATTAGAAAAAGTGATACTTTGTTTTTGTTTATATTTACATGTGGGCTGTACACCATCAGGGTACAAGGACTGTCTTACATTTTTGACCCGTGCATTATAAAAGCATTTAGGCCCCAAAAAAAGTTAAAAGACCATACACAAACTCTCTTGAAAACATACCTACATACCACTCCACACACACACCTGCACACACACACACCAAAGAAACAAACTGAAGGTACGCTGAATCTGAGTACCACTAGATTGGTTCCTTGCTGATGCCAGTAGACATTTCACTGCCCAAGGGATCAGCATGAGAAGAGGCCATCTTCTTATGCTTAAGATGGGATCTTCAGCATAAGATGTTGAACAAACTCTTGAGCTGAAGATGTTCAAAGTCGGAGCGTCTTCATATGGTGAATAACATCTTCATGTTATGAAGCTTTTCTTGAACATCTTGTGTGGAACATTTTGGGTTCAATGTGGAATGTTCTTCATCTTATGTTCAACATGGGGTGGGAAGGAAAGAATTATCTTCATCTTATTTTGAAGATGTTCATCATGAAAGCGTCTTTATAAAATGAAGAACATCTCCGCCTCATGGGGATGTTCTTTGTTGACCCGTAGGACAAGGGGCGTAAAGAGATTGTTAGGATCAGACAAGGGTTAAAAAAGTCGTTGAATTCACGTTGAAGTCAGAAAATGTATAAAGGTTTTGTTGTATTCATTTATTTTTGGAACTTTATGTTTTCTGGTCTTTGTGGAACACCTTCCATGACCAACTTGCCAAACCTGTTTTGCAGCCTTCTCATCTTTCAGAAAACTTCACTTAAGTGACATTTTGAGATTTCCATTGCACTTTAGGTGTCAGATTTTCCGGGGGTTTTTTGTTGTTGTTTTTTGAGAGTCTACAAAAAGAGATGCAAACCAAAGTTCATTATATGGCAGGTCCTTCTCATTTTTACAGGATTCGAAAATCTAAGAGTTTTGGACTTAACCAATTAACATTAAAGATTCAAAACAATTCTCCTCTGCCTGCGATGGTCATTCTGAGACACATTTCTGTTTGAGCAAATAAATAAAACCACAGAGCACACACAGACTAATCAGTTTCCTTCTGTAGCCAACAGCGGGTGCATATCAAATCCAGGAGTTCCTGTTGACAGGATACTCTCAGCCTGCAGCGGTGGAGGAGCTCACACTCCCACACACACTCGCTCTCATTGCTCAAAACACAGCTACCAACATCAGGTCGCGAATGATCTTATCGGTAATTTCTTTGGAGATGGGAGACACTTGACCACAGATTACAAAGACATGTTAAAGTTAACATGCAGCGCAGGTTGGAATCCACATCTTGGAGTCGTCGTGCTGCTCCTTACTTGTTAAAGTAAGCTGTTAGTTTTAGTTTACCCCCCCACAGGAAAAGGATATGGCACCTGAAGCCACAGATTGGGCCCGATGCGGGCACATCAGTGATATATTGGGCTACACTTCCTTTCCCTGTTCTGACTTGGACCATACCGCTGTGTTACCAGTGAAAGTCAGACAGTTAATGGGAGATAAAATGCTTTTGTGTTTTAAAAAAAAGACAGAAAGTCCTGAAATGACAAATGCCTCGAAGTTTTACCCATTGTTGCTGGGCAGTTGAGGCATCTCAACTACATTGACAACAAAGGTTATCTCTATATAATGCAATAGAAAAAGTATATAAATATTATTAGAAATAGATTTTCTTTCTTTTGCATTTTAAAATAACACAGGTTTGCTCATCATCACAGAAAATATAAAATACATAGAGAAATAATAAAATATTTAAAAAAAATTAAGATCTTTATAAAATGCAGACAAAATTGTTAATATAATAAGATCTTAAAAACACCAATCAACAAATGCACCAATCTTTGACATTTGACTTTTCATCTGTGCTGAGCTGCCCATGTCAGCTGGATTTTATCATTTAGAGGAAATGAACTTCATTTGTTTTTTTTTACTTTTTAGAGTACTTTTTTGTACTAAGCCCATCTGCCCCTGATTTGGACTGAGACAAATGGTTATTCACCTTATGTTATTTTTCATTAAAATAGATCAGATGCCATTTTAAAATTTACCAAATGTTCATGCTGTCAATTTTTAATGTAAATTACTTTTATTAATAAATAGATTTATTGACATTTTGTGATTTTTTTCCCCCCTGAATCACAAAATCTTCATATGTGCAAATGAATGCACAGTATTTATGTCTACACTTTGCTGTAGTTATGAGGAGCAGTTCAGGGTGAAATCTCACCTTTTTGCTTTATTCTGTAACTCATGGGCCACATGACTCGACTGAGCTCCGATGTTGCCTAAAAATCCACTTTAATTTGGCTCACCAGTTCCTCATAATGGACCATGTCCTGGAAGCTCTCGTCATGGTGTGTTCACAGATTTAATCTAAAAATGTTTGTGTGAATCGTTTCTTTTACTTTGTACACTAAATTTGTTTGATTAAAGCTCTGGAGTATATAATTTTTGTAAGTAAATAAAGAATTTTAAGACAACCAAACCTCACACAAAACCAATGTTGCTCTGCCATCTTAAATGAAGCAATGTTACAACCTGTGCCCAATGTGTCACTGAGTCAAAAAGAGAAGTGCTTATCTGTTAAAATGACTTAAGCGTCAGACCCAATACAGCGCCTTTCTTTGACAAAGAAAGGATTCTTATGCAAATGCTGGTGGATTCTCTGTTGGCTCAAAATCCATTTTCCAACTTGATCTTCCCCTTTTACTGAAACAGCTAATCATAGAGTAAAACACATTATTGATATATTTCATGAAATCTTTAAACAGGTTCAAAAAAGGAACATTTGTATTTTTATTAAATCTTCCTTAATAAATCATTTGAAGCCCAGAAGCAGAATTGTCTCAGATTGTGAGTAGAAATTAATTAGCTCATAATGGACATAATTTCCCTCAATACATCTGTTCGATTTGATGCATTTTAAGAATTGAAAAATGCAGAAAACCTCAGCTTTTTTGCAAATCATCATTCAGATTAGAATACATGGATGAATAATAAAAATATATTTGAATTTTTAATAAACCAATGAGACTGGTTTCTAGGTGTTTACCTAGAAATTATTTTCCAATATAAAAAAAGAATATTTTCCTGTAACAGTGAGGATTAAAAAAAAAAAAGTGACTGAAGGATCAGGGATACTGAAAAAAGGGCGTTCTAAAGATTTCTGATTATAGTTTGTCATATTACTATCACACTTCTTGAAGTCAGTCAAAGGGCTTTGTCAAAATGGATTCTGACTGATAAACACATTTTGGTAAAGATTTCAAGCTGAGGTAACTGACCAAAGCTTGTGTGAAAAACAAAACAGTAAAACATGGAAGAAGACAATCAGTGCTTTGTGTGTTGTAACTTTGCTCCCTTTCAAACAAGATACAAATCACAAAAATTAGAAACCTGTTCATGACTAATGCATTTTGTGAAGAAATGCGATGCAAGTGGTGTCAAAACTCAAGTCTGGGCCTTATGGCTCTGGGTCGCATCATAACCTGAAAGACGCATCTAACACGTCTGATGAATGACAGACAAGATATTGATTTTTATTAAGAAAAAAAAAGGGATCCTCTGCAAGGCACCACAAACCAAACAATAATGTTAAATCTGACTTTTTATTTTTGTAAAAATTTGTCATAGATCCTTCCAAGCTAGAGAGTCCACCAAGATTTAGCTGATTGTAGCAGGAAATGGAAAGAGAACAGAATAAGAATTAGCACACCCGACGTGCCTACAAAGTTAGTCAACCTTTTCTTTTGTCCAGAGAAGACAAAACATACCATTTCAACACAGACAAACCCAAAATAGAGTCAAAGAATGCTACAACATTTTCAATGCGCAACACTGGACACCACTGGCATCTTCTTTTCCTCATCCCACACAGGAGTTGGAACAAGGCGGGCTTGTTAAGTTTGTGAAATCGAACCAACCTGAACATCCTGCGTCACATCTGTAAGGTAAAGGGTGACTGTCTGCCAAAAGATCTGTAACAAAATACACACCTGTGTGCTTCCACTGATTTTGTAACGTGGCCCCCATGTTTATAAACTTAGTTTCAACTTCCACAATGGGATATTGTTTTCTCTTTCAACAGAAATTCATAAATTCATCTAATTTTAGGCCATAAAACACAACCAGAGTCAAAATGTGTGTGACCTTATTTATTTAGAAAAAAGGCGACATTTCAAAGGATGACTCGTTTTAAAAGCCCCATTATGCCATCAGATGTCATGTATCACTTTGATTACCACTTTGTTTTTGAAACGAGTGATAAACTGGGCGACATGGAGAATATGGAGTTTTCTGTACATAAATAGTAATCCATGCAAATAGTAAAATAATGAAACACCTTTTTTTTTACTCCCTGAATCTTATTTAATGACTCAGGAGATACAAGAATCAGGAAGAGCTCATTTCATGTAAGCCAGCTGCTAAGGCATCTGTTGTTCATGTAATAAAGATTTTATTTGTTTACAAATGTATTTAAAAAGGTGGGAATTAAGACAAGAATAGAAGTGAAGTAAAAGGTTTCTTTTAACCAAAACCTAAACTCCACCCTATTCTTGATTTTCTCTCTTCCTTTTCTTCTTCTTGGATTTTTTAGTAGCCGGTTCCTCTTCACATTCCTTTACTGCACTGTGGTCCTCCTCGCTCTCATGAACATTTTTAAGCTGCTTCTCTATGCGTTTAGATTTTTTCTTCTTTGAGAGACTTCGTTTTTCACAGTTTATCTCCAAAACACTGGCAGAGTTAGAGTTTTCATTTTCATCAACAATTTCTGCAGTTTTCCTCTTCTTTTTCTTTCTTGAGCACACTTTCTCCTTTTCTTTTTCTTCTGGTACAATGGGGGCACTGCACTTCTCTTCTATGTCCACTAGCTCCTGTTCTACCTTTTTGCTCTTCTTTTTCTTGGGCTCTTCAGCATCATTGTTGTTGCTATGGACTGGTCTGATCTCTTCAGCAGGGTTTGATGTTTCGGTAGTCTCTGCTTTGACAGAAGATGCTGCACCTTCAGAGCCACGAGCCTTCTTCAGCTGTGCCATGCGCTGCGCAAAATACTCCTGCATGCTCAGGGAACTAGTCACAGTCTTGGTTATTGATTCAGTATCAAGTTCAGAAGAAGCGTTAGTCCCATTTTCCTCTGATTCAACTGGAGACTCGCTCCTGCTCCTCCCCTACACCACAAAGACACAAATAAAAAGAGAGTTATTTAGAGATTCTGCACATCCAGGCCTGGTACACCATTTTGAACAAAGGAGCTTAAGTAATTGTCAATCATCATCCTAAGATTACTCCTAAGATGTAAAGTGAGTGACAAGCCCAAAGAAGGATGCTGAAGCAACAATAGGTGTTAGAACCTTAAAATAAGCACAGTTAACAAAAGAGTCACATTTTCTTTATCGTTCCTGACATACAGCTGGGTTTGTTCGCAGTCAGTCGTCCCTCTCGTCCATATTTAGTGGTGAGGAGTTGTTATAGAGATACAAGTTGTAGCTGAACTGTGACTGTCAAATCAAAATGAAACCAGATCTGTTGTTTGTGTTGGCTTACCACCAGAGCAAGAAAAAAGAAGAAAACCAAGTTTGGCAATCAACCTAATCTAACAAGTGAACTTTCAGAGGAAAGTCAGCTCTCATTCCACAGAAATGTTTCAGAATTTTATATTCGACGTAATTCTCCTAAGAAGAGGACACGTGCATCAAAAGAGAAGCTAATTAGCTAACTCAACAAAATAATATAAATCAGAGTATTAGAAAAGTGTGGTTTCTCTGAATAACACTGCAAAACACTTGTTTACATCCACAGAGTGGATGTAAACAAGGAACTGGAAAAAAACCAGTTCCTTGTTCTATGCTTTGTTTTATACAGAAGGTCTGGACTCTAAAGGATTGCTTACTGGAGGCATGGACTTTGTTAAAGTTTTAAATGACTGGATCTGATTTTATCCAATCACCAACTTTCGGCTGTGTTTGTAATGTGCCGGCTCGATGTTGCTTACCGGAAATTGTGTGTTCTGTAAAGAATCCCACAGTATCTTTGCCAGCAATAAAATGTCATAAATTAATTCTGTTCAAACTTTAATTGATCATTATTTAGAAGTGTGACCAACATAGACTGAATACCTCTGTTCCCTTCGTCCACTGCCATTGGCAAACTACAACTTTATAGGCTGCCTACAATCCTAAAACAGGACAGGAAAAACTGGAAAAATCAAGGTTATTGGGAGAAATTTCAGAAGGAGCACTGAGGGGGATATATGAATCCAGTAATATTTCATAGAAAAACAATGATCAGGCCATTTCCAAGCTTTACTTTTCACAATCGCTTTGCATTGACAGAGTAGAGGGACCATTCTTACTCATCTTTTTCACTTTTAACTTGCGAATATGAACTTAACAGCTTCATACTAACTTATTGGTATGGTTTATGGTTATGTACTTTATGACCATAAACGTCTGCGTTAAAGGGACCAACCATTATTGCATTTATTTCAGATATAGAAAGCTGCACAGCAAAGATTCTGTAAGCTCTTTAGTTTTTATTAATTCTTACATACATACCATGCAGTGATCTTCTGTTCTATATTCAGGAGAAAACTGAGTCTGATTATAAATCCTTGCTGCAGCCTTTAGGTTTGGCATTAAACGGGGCCTATTTTAAAACTGTTAGGCACAACGTAGTCCAGATTTTACCTCCACAGCATGTACAATTTGTCACCTCGCCCCTATGACCCATTTGTCTTCATTTTCCTAATGGCCTACTCAATGCATAATGATTTGTCGTGAAGAATACAGAAGCTCCTCTGGAGAGTCGCACTAAACAATGCAGCCGCTGCTAAGATGGTGAAGTGGCTGGCATTTTTCACACCACACAGATTAACTGAAAACACTGAATTGTATGCTATCATGTCATTGTTTGGCCTTACAGCTTTTATGTTCAATTACAGTTTGAGATGGATAGGATGGCTCTAAATCTACATTCAAATGCAGCGCCAAGTTGAGAGATGTAGATGAAGATTTCTTGTTAAGTCCCTTCCTCAAAAATTGTAATGTAATGAAGATAAAAGTACTGATCTGTTTGGCCAGAAAGATTCTAAAATAAATTCAAACAGGATTAATGGTTCCAATAATGTCTGTGAGAGTGCAGACCTTAAAAACAGAAAAAAAGTGGCTTCCAGTGTAGGTGAACCCAACACAAAAGCTAAAGAAAGTTTTCCACCATCGAGGACCTTGTCCAGATATAACCACAACTTCTAACAAGGGGGATATAAAGCCCTTCAGGTGAGGTGCCATTAAACAAAACTTTCCAGCTTCCCACTAAAAATCTATACTCCCAGTTACTGTACAATGGCGTCCTCTCTGCTTGGGAGAGTGAAGATGAGGCTTAGAGCTGACAGCGCCAAACAGCATGTAACTGGGATTTGGGAATATGGCTGGGGGCCACTTTAGAGCTGCCTGTGAAATTACTCTCAGGAGAGGGACAGGTTGAATGAGCAAAGGGAAGAAAGAGGGGAGAGTGACTGAGAGAAACATCATCATCAGGGAAAAGTAGCTTGAGCTTGGTGCGTGGTTCTTTCTTCACTGCCTGGGGATTCCATTAGACTCTGATACGACAGCAGGTAGAAGTGCTGTGCACAGGCCGGACAAACACACACAGAGTGGATGTAAACATACTGATCCAGTCAGCATTACTGGCAGCCCTGGAGATTTTTTTAGCATGAACTATTGGGGGTGACAGGCTAATAGGCAGCAATTGGCTTAGAGGGGTTTCTCCATTTTCAGTTGCGTCTTTTGCTCAAACTTGTTGGTCATATAATCCTTTGCAATGTCATAGTCTTGCATCCAGCAGACAGCAAGCATTACCAGACTCATTTGTGTTACAAGTTTGTATTTTTAAAGAGAAGTATCAAAAAGAGTATGGAAATTGGTGTTTGATGAGAGTATGTGGGTTGTCCCCATTAAAAACTTCTCTGCCAATGCCTTATTTAGGTATTGACTCCCATTTAGTGCTGTTGAATGGATTGCATAATTGAGGTTAGAATAATTAAAAAGAATTTTAACTACTTCTTCATTTATTCATTGTATATATGATGCATGGAAAAATCATACTCTGCCAGAACTGCCTGTCAGCTCTTCCTCATCCTCACACATTGGTTTGGGATTGCATGCCATTCTTCAACATATAATTTTTCATCAAAGGTTTTTGGTATTGGCTGAAATGATTTAGATAGGTCTTTAGAGGCGCAATGCAACCAATATACTCAACTCAACCCACAATGTATTTTCCTAACTACTGTGGCATCATTTCAGTGGAATTAAACAGTGAAGTCACACATACAGATACTATGTATGTATTTTTTTACACATATTTGACCCACTACTTATTACTAACCCAAGTCATGATTTTAGCAGACCAATCAAATTTGGACACCCCTCCTGACCTATACTGACCATCCTTACACTAACAAATGTGGGGAAAAAAGCAGCAGATTAATTTGAAATCTGATGAACAATGGAGAAGAAATGCACAAATTATTTTTTTAAAAACTGCATAAAAGTCATATTGTCATATTTTATGTTAATACTTAATGTAATACCTAAATAAATTATGCATATTTGACTCTGCAGATTATCCTCCAGCTGGAGCAGAGTTTTTGGGGTGACAGAAAATATGACATAAGAGAGTTAAAATGCATAACATCATGGCTAAAGGCAAGAATAGAAAATAGAGTTAATACATCCAGAGTAAATGTATTCTAGATGTCAACACTTTTCATCCCTACAACCTAAAGACTGGATTTTGAAGCTATTGGCATTAAAAATGTTTACAGACATGAACTCAATTAAATGAATGGCAAACTGCAGATATTTTATTTCAACTGAATATGTAAGTTGAAAAACCTTATAACTTCATCGATTCCGAGTTAAACCTAGTAAATAAAAAAATATTGAAAAAATATTCTCAATCTCTTAAAAAATATTGAAACATAACACAGCAATGGTTACTGTCATTTCAAGAAAAAAATGGAGATGAATTATTCTGACTTCATCTAAGGTAAAAAAAATGAAACTGACAACTTTAAACACAAGCTAATTTGACAAAGTTATTGCAGAAAAAGAGCATTTGTGAATTCATTATGAGAATAGATGTTTTCTTTGTGTTCTGTATTGTTTTGTAAAAATACACAATTTCAAATGTCTTGTATTTTATTAACCTTGCAAAAACTCTGTCCAGCCTCTTGCTAAATTTAGGAAGAATGGCAAAAATGGCAGAGTTGAGTAGCAGAGGGTTGGAGAACACACCTCTTATCAAGCCGTGTGTACTTCTCCTCCCACATCATCTACTTCTCTCCACCCAGACACAGAACCCCAGGAAAAGGATGCGCTCAATGCACTGTGTGCAGCTCTGAGATAAGGCTCCTTCAGCAGAGGAACGGTCTGGCTGGCTATCGGGCCCTTCCTGATCCACTCACTCCCCTGGCGGGGATAGGGTTGGGCAGGGAAAACAGGGAGGGGTCCACAGAGGGTCCCGAAGAAAAGGAGAGGTTGGGAAGACATTCAACAGGACGCCTCCTTCAAGACACTCCAGTTCAATCTCTTCCCTGCTAATGTAACCAATGGAAAGCCAATGGCAAAACATGTGCCAAGGTGCCAAAATAGCACAGCCAATATATTCAGAGGGGAAGTCAATCAAGCCAGGAAAAATGAAGAAAAAGGTTCACTTCAGTGCATGAGAAACTTTTCTTTCCAGTGAGTCCTAGAATTTTAAAAAATTGAATATTATTACATTTATTTGTAATAATTTGCGCTTTTTTTTCTTTTGCAGAGGAACCAATCCTATTTTACACTGATTGTAATCCAAAGAGTGCAAAAATCTAAGACAGCATTATTTTTGTACAATACAAGATCTGTTACCTTGTATGCCATTGATTTAAATATTATGACAGCAAAAAGAGTACAACTGAATAAAGATACCTAATTTCACCTGACATAATTAAAATACAAAGCTGAGAAAGAATGCTTTGAAATGAAGACGTGTATTAAAATTTTAAAGTATTTTAGACTAAATACAGTTTTTACAAAAAGCTTAGTTGGTGCCAAAATATATCAATAATATACAAAAAATAAATTAAATATTTTTTGGTAACCTTCCATTGATTTTACACTTAGGTAGA